GTCAGGAATTGTTTGTTGAATGAACAATGAGAATTTTAATAAAAATGATTTTTTTTTGTGATCAAAGAGGAAGACAAATTATGAATCGAAAAAAATAGTGTTTCCAAATATTGATTGAAGTGGTGGAAAAAATTTTTAATCAACAAATTCGTTTCCATGCAATAAAGGAAACGATTCCTTTAATGCAATGAATAAGAACACTTTTGTTTAATTGCCATTAGTTAATTTAATTTTTACGACCGGTTTCGGATTCAACTATATCATTAAGTATAAAACTAAAATGTGAAATTTGAAAACTCAGTTATATTGGGAGTTTTCAGGTAAGATGGAATGCCAGGTAGTTGAATGAACCAAGGTGTCAACTAAAATTCAACACTGAAGATTATAGGGGCTGTTGAAAGTATAAATTCATGAGTGGAAACCTACATAAATCGAGTTGCTTGTTTAGGGGTATATATTTATAGTTTTTAATTGATTTGTTTATTTCCATGACTTCCAACAAATTCATTTTTTTCCTTTATTAGATATGTGTAGGATTTTGAAGTTATCTTTACTTATCTTGTGTTTTGATTCTTGAAGATGTTCATATATTGTAAATTTTTTGACCAAACAGACGTGTTCACGGAGCTTTACCTTGAATCAAATGTTTTCCATGCAAGGGAAAATTGAGAAACTTAAAAATTTTATTTTTAATTACATTTTAAACAATCTTACTGATTTTCAGCTTGGTGGGAATTTAGGTAGCTTCAATCTTATTTTATGCCTAATTAACCGGACTATTAAACCCGAAACTGGTCATACAAACAAAATTAACTAGTGGTACTAAGGCAAAGGTGTTTTATTCATTTCATTGAAAAGATCATGAATTTNTGTTTTAACAAGAACTCAATATTCAATAACATCAAATCACAAAACATTAAAATAACGTAGGTATGTCGAAAGAAACTGATTGATTTCCTGGAGATTTTCTTGTCCAAAATAAGTGTTTTAAGTTGAATCTCTAGAAAATCAATGAGTTTGTTCCGTTTTGTGATTTGATATTATTGAATATCAAGTTCTTGTTACAATACTGTATGAATTTGAGTAATTTTTGGTGTTGACAGAAAATTAAAATAACTTGGCGCCAAAAACTTTGAAAATTAATTTACTTTTCAAAAAAATTGACCTTGGTTAACACAATGGTTGTGTAATTTGTAATATTACAGGCTCTCAAAATGAACCGTCGTATACAGGATGTTGTCTATTTATCGTTTTAGAATAATTTTTTTTTTCGTAGACCATTTAAAAAAATGGGAAAGAATGAAACTTCACTTAGATGGCCATGACTTCAAATCTAGATGTATTTTTCAATGCTGAAGAGGCTGCACAAACTTTTATCAGGAATAAATTTTTGTCGAAAAACCATTAATAAATAAGTTTCCCATATGGTGCATACTTTGGGGATGACACTGTATATCTCTGTATTTCACGTTCTGAAGGTTAGTGGCATAGTTGGTACGACTAATGCAAGCATTCGTTTTTGAATTAAATTTGTTATAAGAAAAATATTGATGGCTGAATTGAAAAGTGGCAATTAAGGAGGAATAAGGTGTGAAGATGACCTAGTAAATAAATGCTCGTGTTTTTAAATAGTTTAACTTGTGAAAAAGGAGGCTGAAAAGTTGCCCTTTTCCGAACTTTGAAGGGCCGTAACTTTGTGAATAAGGAACAGCATCGCTTTTTTCTTTCGGATTTGTAACCTACGCATTAAAATACGTAAGTACACTCAAAATTTTTTTCAAAATCGCCGGATGCACTCAAAACGAATATCTTGATGATGATTCATCAAAACGAATAAACCTCTGAAGAAGCCAGCCACTCGTGATGGCGAAACGTCAGGATGCAGTTCCAAACTACGACGGCCTTCAAATCCTAATAAAGATAGTAACACTAAAAATTTCGAAAATCATCTACTTGCTATTCCGAATCGAATGGCACCTCGTTCAGAAAAAAGTTTGACCTCAAGTGCACTT